ACTGAATAGGGTGACTACTGGTTGCTGCTGAAGGACATGAGATGAGAGGGCTTTCTTCTGTACCCGCAAGGGCTAAAAATAAGTTCAAAGAATCATCCAATCTCGGAAAATTCAGTGGTGGAATCCACCCACCGGTGCCCAACCCCAAAAGGGCTCTCAATCAAAAGCACACGACTTTGAGAGGTAATTCTCAGTCACCCAGCCCCAGTGTCAATAAATCTAACTCCAATTCACTCTCTAATGCTTCCATTTCGGCTAATGAAAGTATTAAGCCAGTTGATCATCGTTATTTCTCTCAAATTCTCTCAAGAGATGACTGGTGTTTGCTGCTAAACCATGAGTTTAAAGCCCAGAGGATAGTTTTGAATTCTCAGTTTGTGGTGAGTTTATTGCAGAATCAAGAAAACCCGGTGCACCCTTTGAGATTTTATATCTGGGTCTCAAATATTGATCATTCATTTGCCAAGAGTCAACCCGTATGTAGTGCTTTAACCGGTGTCCTTTGTAGGAAAGGTCCTGTTTTGTTGTCTGGTGAATTGATTGAAAATATTAGGAACTCGGGTTTTCGAGTCACTGAAGACTTGCTCTGTATTTTGTTTGGTAGCTGGGGAAGATTAGGATTGGCTAAATATTGTCTTGAGACATTTGGGCAGATTTCATTTTTGGATATCAGTCCTAGCACAAGATTGTATAATGCTGTGATTGATGCTTTGGTGAAATCCAATTCACTTGACTTGGCATATTGTAAGTTCCAACAAATGTCAGCTGATAATTGCAAGCCTGATAGATTCACATACAATATTCTCATTCATGGAGTTTGTAGAATTGGTTTGATGGATGAGGCACTTCGGTTGCTCAAACAGATGGAAGGGTTGGGATATTTGCCCAATGTTTTTACATATACCATTCTAATTGATGGATTTTGTAATGCAAAAAGAGTTGATGAAGCATTCAAGGTTTTAGAGACCATGAAGGACAGAAATGTAAAGCCACATGTAGCTACAATCAGATCATTGGTTCATGGGGTATTTCGTGGTGCAATGCCACATAATGCATTGGAGTTGTTAACTGGATTTATGGAGAAGGAGCCTGTGTTTCAGAAATTGGCTTGTGATACTTTACTCTATCTCCTTTCAAAAAACTCTATGGCAAGAGAAGTGGCCATGTTTCTAAAGAAAATTGGTGAGAGAGGTTATCTTCCTGACAGTTCAACATTTAACATTATAATGACTTGTTTGATAAAAGGATATGATCTCAGTGAGACATGTTTGATTTTGGACAGTTTTATTGAGCAAGGTGTGAAACCAGGGTTTAGCACTTATCTTGCTGTTGCTGAAGCTTTGTGCAAAGCAGGAAGATGGATGGAGGTGGATCAGTATTTGAACAAGATGAGTGAGGATGGACTATTATCAAATGTCTTTTCATATAACATGGTGATTGATTGCTTTTGTAAAGCCAATTTGATGGACAGGGCCACAAGGACTTTCAGGGAGATGTGCAATCAAGGTATAATTCCTACTCTTGTTACTTTCAATATGCTTATCAGTGGGTATGCCAAGGTAGGGAAGGTAACTAAGATACAGTACTTCCTGTTAAAGCTTTTACAATATGGTTTCAATCCTGATATCTTCACATTTAGTTCAATAATTGATGGTCTCTGTCGAGCACACATGATTGAAGATGCTTTTGATTGTTTCACTGAAATGTACTACTGGGATGTCACTCCGAATGCTATAACATACAATATATTAATCCGCTGCTTGTGTGAAATTGGGGATGTCGGTAGAGCAGCAGAACTTTTAAGAGAAATGCAAGCTGATGGAATAAGTCCAGATGTTTTCTCTTTCAATGCTCTCATTCAGAACTTTTGTAGAATGAAGAAGTTTGGGAAAGCAAAGAAACATTTTCTGTCCATGTTGACATTGGGCTTGACTCCTGATAATTATACTTATTCTGCTTTTATAAATGCTTTGTGCAAAGCAGGAAGATTTGTTGAGGCTGTAGAGATATTTAACTCAATGGAAGCTAAAGGATGTATTCCTGATTCTTATATTTGTAATCTAATTTTGGAAAGTCTAGTCAAGCAGGCTCACTTGGAAGAAGCCCGCGAAATTGTCAAAAGATGTAAAAGATGGGGTGTTTCCCTAAAATCGTTTCCAATCTTGTAGGAGGGTCTTTAGCTGCTTGTACTTTTGCAGAACCAATGTCATGGCATGGAATGGAAGGAGATGCTACTCATGCATCATCTATTGGTTGCTTCCAGATTCTTTGGCTGAAAAGTTCAAGTTTTTTCCCAGGATCAGCAAGTACATTGGCAAGAAATTGCCTTGAATGTGGCACTTTCTATTCCCATATTTTCTTCTCAGTTTCATGGGGTTATGACATATGGCCATACATTTTAAAGAAAGTTTGGCCCTATGCAGAGAAATGGTGTCGGGAGTTCAGAGCATAACAGCAGAACTTCACTGAGACATTTTTAGGTGAAGCACACTTGACTAGTGGGATGATTGCTTGTATCCAGCAGCAAGTGTTTTCCCTGGCAATTAACCTGACAAATGACTGTACTTCTATCAGCTTTGCACCATGCTTGATTTTTGTTGAAAGTTTATCTCTATTACTGGGAGGAGCAAACTTGAAGAAAAGAAAATTAGCAGGATTCTTGTTTTTCCAATTTTGTTCTGGAATACTTTCATACATATGTAGTAACATTTTAAAACTTTAATAAGATTCTACTTGACATATTGCAATTTCTCTTAGCTTCAATAGAAATTTGATCATGTTTTACTTAGCCTTTACCTGATCATCTTGAACATGAACACGTTACCCCAACTGTTTTAGCTGCTTCTAGAAATCTTCTTGCTGCATAATGCTCTTCCCTCTGATTTTTTCATTGTACCATTAGAAGGCCTCCGTACAAGGGTTACTTAGGGCTTAAAGTCACATACTAACTTCAGTAACTTGTGATAAAAGAAGCATTGAATCACACGTGCAGGTAGTTTTAGGTTTGTTTTCTTTACTTGGTAAGGAAAAGTCCTCATATGGAATGGTAGAAGTTGGTGACTTGTATTCATCTGCTTTCTGACTCTTCCATTCCTGCATGGTTTTACTTTTACCCAACACAGAAAGCAAAACCCCAGCAAGAATTTCCCTTTGCTCAAGGGTTACGTGCAAAACTGCAAATACTAGATTTTCAAATTGGAGAGCTGACCATTAAACGTTCCTCTGTGGGTTAACCATAAATTCCCTATATAATATTCTCAACTACATCACTTTTCCTCTTATTAGCTCAAATATTCGGTTCCCAACCTTCCAAAATGGCACTTACATTCAGAATCAGACTCTTTGCTCTATCTTTAATATGCATGTTGATATTCTGCTGCTACTTAGGTACGACAACAAATAAACATCAACCCCCTATTTGGTTTGAAAGAAATGGAGGAAATGAAAAGATATTGTCTCTCCTCCCCTCTAAAATTATAAAGAAAATTAAAGGAAAGCCCTTCTGTTGCCTCCCCTTCCCTCTAATTTTTATTATCCAAATAAGGAAATTTATCCTCTTACTCTCAAACCAAACAAGTTACAAAGCTTTCCTTCTCTTTTTTATTCGTTTAACAGTAATAATTTCTTACTTTGACAGGTAAGGCCGCTGAAGATGTCCCTCAAACTGGCCCTGGAGCAAGCGATCCCGCTCAAATAGTTGCAAAGGCATTGCTATGTTTCAATGATAAACAGGTAAGATTCAAAAACAGATCATCTGATTCTCTACATTCCTTTTGAGAATCTGTTTCGTGCTTATACCAGTGGATGTTTCAGATTTACAGCAGCTGTGCAGAATCTTACAGGCTGACCGTGAGTGGCAACCTGGATGTCCCATCACAATACGCTGATGAGTTCTGCACCGGGCCATGCCTGAACGAGACACACCTGGTGCTCAAGTGCATAGAGTTCATTATGACAAACTTTGAGTTCTATAACAAGGCCACAATTCAGGACATCAGGGACACCATCCAGGCGGGATGTGGATATGGCCCTGAGAGAGGTAGTAGCATCTCCTCTTCCCTCCCACCACCAGAAAAATCCTCCAATCATCCCTTTAATCTTTCATCATATGCTATAATCTATCGCTTATCTTATGCAGGAAAGTTCAATGTCACGGAGCACCGTGAACCTGAGGAAAGCAGCACAAACAAGGCAACCATCCGCGTTCTGGTTTCTCTTGGTTTGATGGTCATAGGGCCGATTTTATTCTTCTGAATTCAGATATGTTCCTATAACAAGGATTGCTAAAGAAACCAATGTGTTAGGAGAATTGAAGAAAAGCATAAATAAATAAAACATATTGCATTTGTGCACAACACTCTTCCCTCTAATTTTTGTTAAATTCTTTAAATCGTGAAATCTTTGAAAACTTAATCCCAAATCCATGTAACGAAGGCTACTTAGTTTTAAATGACCACATAATTATTATAGTAACTTAGATATTCAGAAACCTATAAAAGGAAATCTTGTTAATCGAAGAAATGTAACAAAGCAGAAGACTTTTTTTCGTTTTTGAGCCACTAATGGCTTCTCTCAAGAATCCTACGTCCATTTTCCTCCAATTCTCATGGTATTCAAGAACCCACATTTTCTCTTTTTCTCTTCTCCTCCTATCCCTCATCCTCCTATCGGCGTCGTTCACTGATCAGTACTCACCGGCGCTACTGGCTTCAACCTTTGCAGCCCGTGTCGTCTACGCTGCAAGCTACTTTTCTCCGTTGTCCTCCATCTCCTCTACCAGTACGTGCCTCGTCTCTGAATCGGAGACCAACTGCTCTCTCCCATCCGTAACTGCCGTGGAACGAACCCACCGGAATCCCAGAGGGAGTAATCCGACTCAAGAGTTCAGTTCTTGTGACATCTTTAATGGGAGTTGGGTCTTGGCGGATGATTCTTGCCCGCTTTACCCAGTTGGGTCTTGCCCGTTTGTCGATGATGCTTTTAACTGCTTCAAGAACGGCCGGCCGGATTTTGAGTACCTCCGGTACCGGTGGAAGCCGTTCGGTTGTGAAATTCCGATATTTGATGGCCGCAGAATGTTGGAGATTCTGAGGGGGAAGAGGATGGTGTTCGTAGGGGATTCTTTAAACAGGAACATGTGGGAATCTCTGGTTTGTGCATTGAGGGAATCGTTGAAAGATAAACGGAAAATCTTTGAAGTTTCCGGCCGGCGAGAGTTCAGAACTCAAGGATTCTACTCCTTCATATTCAAAGTGAGTTTTCAATGTAAATCTTCAAAACCCCTTCTGAGGTTTAAGCAAAATTGTCAAAACTTGCAAAATCCCTTTTGGGGTTTAAGTAAAACAATCGAATTTTTGTTTAATTCTTCTTCAGGATTACAACTGTTCAATTGACTTCATCAAATCTCCATTCCTGGTTCAAGAATGGAAGCTCCCTGATAAAAATGGAAAACCCAGAAGAGAAAGACTGAGACTTGACATGATACAGGGCTCTTCCTCTACGTATGCTGATGCTGATATAATCATCTTCAACACAGGTCACTGGTGGACTCACCAGAAAACCTACAAAGGGTAAAAAAAATTAAAATTTCTTTTTAATTTTGCATCATCAATGTTCCTGTAACAGAAAGTTTCCGATCATGTTGTTCTTGTTTTCTAGCAAAGATTACTTCCAGGAAGGTAGGCATGTGTACAGAACCCTGGAAGTGACAGAAGCATACACAAAGGCATTGAAAACATGGGCTCATTGGGTTGATTCAACCATCGATAGTCGTCGGACCAGAGTCTTTTTCCGGGGATACTCTGCTTCTCATTTCCGGTAATGAACCCGCACTTCTTTTCTTCAGAACTCTGATTTTCCTCACTACAGAGTGGTTAATTGTTTTGAGGATTCCAGGAAGAGGAATTGGAACACCGGTGGGCAATGTCACGGGGAGAAGCAGCCGTTGATGAACGAGACAGAGCTGGCGGGGTATCCATGGATGATGAACATACTGGAGTCTGTGATAGCAGAGATGAAGACACCAGTATTTTATCTCAACATAACGAGAATGACAAACTTCAGGAAAGATGGGCACCCTTCAGTTTTCCGGCCGTTGGAGATCCAGAGAGCTGCCGTAATGGCTGCTGGAATGGTCCAGGACTGCAGCCACTGGTGCCTTCCTGGCGTTCCAGACTCCTGGAATGAGCTACTCTATGCCACATTGCTGTTATCAGGCCATGATTCACCTGGCGGTAGCAATTATTAGGCCACTGTTGGTTTGTGCCACTCTTTTCTCTGGCAGAATTAAATCTAGTGTACTTTTGTTCTCTGTATCTGTTGGCTAAACAGGAAAGAAAATGGATTGTTTTGTTCCTATATTAGGGGAAAATGAAATGAAAAGATTTTTTTTTT